ATCCTTTTTCTCCAAGTTGTTTGATCTGTTTGGTATCATAAAACAAAAAAAGTACATGTTTTCATAATTTTATACTTGTTAGCTTAAGTGAACATTTGGATCTTATATTATATATATATGTATATACACAGATAGACATATATAACTACTATATGTCTAATTTTTGAAAACATTCAGAGAACTGCTACCTTTTGAAGTGACCTGGTACTTTGATTATTCTTATGACCATTGCAAGAATTCATTTTCTTAAAAATATTTGATTTGGTGTTTTAGGCATATTGGAGGAAATTACTGAAAACATTTCATTGTGCTTTACTATATTTCAGGGATTAGAGTTCATTAAAAGGATCCAACTGAAAAAATATCTCTTTAAACATTTAATGTTTTAAATGATGTTCTGTTGATTCTTTTAGAACCCGTCATCCAGGTCAATTCTTGGGTTGGGATAAGCAGTAATGATGACCATTTATATGCTGTTAAGAATAACTTTCCAGCCTCTGTACACACTACAAGATATTCTCGAAATGACCTGCACCTGGAAGACATCCAGACAGATGAAGACAAGTTAAACTGTAGTCTTCTCTCTTCAGAGTCTACTTTTATGCCAGTTGCATCAGGACTGTCTCCAGTATCACCTACAGTTGAGCTGAGGCTGCAAGACATTAACTTGGGCCTAGAAAATGATGGTGCTGCAGATGAATCTGTGAAATGTCTGGAAAACAACGGTTTTGATAAGGAAGGGGAAAAGGCTTTTTGGGCTGCAAATGAGAATTCTGTTGAGATGACAAAAAGTGCTATCAGTACAGAGGTAAATGAGAAAGATGGGCTATTACCTTGTCGTGAGCCAACAGTAACCAATGCCGTCATAAAGGATGACACCCACAGTCTTACATCTTTTCCTGAGTCAGTTGGACACAATGTCTTCCATACGCAGCCAGACAGTGAAGAAACCATGTCTCAAATAGCTTCAGAGAAACTTCCTTGCAGGGTTTTAACCCACAGATCTCTTACTTTGGGACAAAATAAAGTTGCCCTTCAGAAATTGAATGAAGCAGCCACCAAGCTTCAGGCCTATTGGCGGGGCTTTTATGCCAGAAACTACAACCCACAAGCTAAAGATGTACGCTATGAAATCCGGCTGCGCCGGATGCAGGAACACATTGTCTGCCTAACTGATGAAATAAGGAGGTGGGTGAGAAGTCCCTGTTTAGGACTTTTACAGTTTGGATGCTGTTTGGTTGGTTTGGGGGTGTCAGATTGTTAGCATTGATTCAGAACACTGAATCACTGCTTTTGTGGCCAGGGCACTTTCCATACTGTGTTGCCACTCTTGGTTTGTCTCCTACAATATACTGAAAGCATCTTGAGTGCAGGGACTGCCATATGCATCTTCATCTGTAGTACAGCAATTGGAACATAGATGCAGCATAGCAGTAAATTTTGAATGAATACATGCCTTATGGACATTTATATACCTAAACACGGAAGGTACAGAAAACATAGAAAAACTGAATTTTAAGTATAAAAATGAGAAAATGAGAAAGTCTACATAGAACCCAGTAGGTGACATAAGAATTAAAGAAAATAGGGACTTCCCTGGTGGTGCAGTGGTTGGGAGTCTGCCTGCCGATGCAGGGGACACAGGTTTGTGCCCCGGTCCGGGAAGATCCCACGTGCAGCAGAGCGGCTGGACCCGTGAGCCATGGCCGCTGAGCCTGCGCGTCCGGAGCCTGTGCTCCGCAATGGGAGAGGCCACAGCAGTGAGAGGCCTGCGTACCGCAAAAAAAAAAAAAAAAAAAAGAATTAAAGAAAATGGCAGGGACTAAAAAGGGGCTAAAATTTGGGGGCTATGGTGGAAATTATTTGTTCGTTCCATGGCTCACATGTTTTCATGACTGTCAACTCAGGAAAATTAGGATTTCATAGATTTATTCTGAGTATTAATATTGTAACCAGCAGTATTTATTAATATTATCAGGTGGGAGAAGAGAGGTGCTGTAAGAGGACAGAGAACTGTGTGTTAGATTTAGCAGCTGGAGGTTATTGGTGACTGTGTTGAGGGTCCCCAAGACTATCCTCAGGTTTGATGATTTGCAAAAAGGACTCAAGAAAGCTATTCTTTTTTTTTTTTTTTTTTTTTTTGGGGGGTCCGCGGGCCTCTCACAGTTGTGGCCTCTCCCGTTGCGGAGCACAGGCTCCGGATGCGCAGGCTCAGTGGCCATGGCTCACGGGCCCAGCCGCTCCACAGCATGTGGGATCTTCCCGGACCGGGGCACGAACCCGTGTCCCCTGCATCGGCAGGCGGACTCTCAACCACTGTGCCACCAGGGAAGCCCAAGAAAGCTATTCTTTATGTTCAGGATTATGGTTTATTAGAGTGAAAGGATATAGATTACAATCAGCAAAGGAAAATAACACACAGGGCAGAGTTCACGAGAGACCCAAGTACAAGCTTCTAGTTGTCTTCTTCCAGTGCATTTGTACACATGGGGCTCGATTCTCCTGGCAACGATGTGTGACAACACATGAAGTATGTGAACCTCAAGGGAGGCTCACTCGAGTCTTTGCATCCAGGGTTTTTATTGGGGGTCAGTCACCTAGGCGTTGAGTGCCCTTGTGACTGACCTTAACTACTCAGACCTCAGCCCCCACCCAAGGTCAAACTGATGCATTGTGGCCTAGGGTCTCAGGTGAACGAAACAGGTATTCACCAGAAAGTACACTGTTAGCATAAACCAAGGTCCCAGATGTACAAAGATACTCTTATCAGGCAGGATATTCCAAGGGCTTGGAGGTTATCTCTCAGGAGCTGGTCAAGGCTAGTCCTGTCTTTAGAATGTGCAGGGTTCAAACACCCGAGTCCTGTTGAGTTAACCTTTTCCTGCCCAATGAGCTTCTTCAGAGCAGCTGCAGTGGGTAGTGGGATGAAGGCGGTTTGGAAAGGATTGAGTAGTGAATGAGAGGTGAAGAGTGAGGGTAGCCAACTTTTGGGAAGTGTTGATGTGAGGAAGAGAAGAGAGTAGGTGGTTGCCAGAGGAGAATCTGGACTTAGGAAGATTCTTTTTTAAAGATGGGAGATATAGAGCAGGTTTATGTGTTGATGGAAATGATTCTATAAGGAAGGAAGAACTGATGGTGCAGAGCAAAGAAAGAAGTAGTGCAGGATGGAAGTTCTTGAGAAAGTGAGAGAAGAGGTCCAGTGCACAAGTAGAGGGAGTAGCCTGAAGTAGGAACAGTAGCAGGTAAGGTGGTAGGTTTGATGGTGGGATAGGGAAGTCCTGTCTGATGGTTGTTTCTCCTTTTCCAATAATATACAAGATGCGGTCAGCACTTGGAAGTGAGGAGAGGGGTGAGGATGTGGGAAGTTTAAGAGAGGTATGAGGTGTGGGGTATTCATCTTAAAAGTGAACTTATAAGGGGAATGGAGGAGGATAACTGGACAGGGTGAGGAAAAACTTAAAGTGCAAGATGATAGGTCAAACTGTATGATTTTCATCAATAACTCTCAGCTGTTCCATTCTGATTTTGGACATGGTTCAGCCAGGAATGGGTTTTTTTCCGGGTGAACATGGTAGGGGAGAGAGGGAAGGGCAAGGGAGCTGATGACATTTGGGAGGGGAATGATAATAATGATGGATCTCAGAATTTAAAGGAGGTAGAAGGAAAGACAAGAGAAAGGGGTCATTTGTTTGGTGGTCATAGATGAAGATTGGTCATCCAGGTTGTTGCAGATTATGGCAAGAACAAGTGAACTGGGAGGATTGGACGTAGTGGTTTGTGTCGGTGCTTGAAATCATTTTCGAAAACAGTGTAGTCAGAATGCTTGGGTCTAATACACTGCCAAATGTGGAATAGCTAGCTAGTGGGAAGTAGCCACATAGCACAGGGAGATCAGCTCGGTGCTTTGTGTCCACCTAGAGGGGTGGGTTAGGGAGGATGGGAGGGAGGCGCAAGAGGGAGGAGATACGGGGATATATCTGATTCGCTTTGTTATACAGCAGAAGCTAATACAACATTGTAAAGCAATTATGCTCCAATAAAGATGTTAAAAAAAAATGCTTGGGTCTAGAGTGGGACTGAGGATGAGTGATGAGGTGTGGGTTATTGTTAGATAGAGCATCCATGTGAATGTCAAGAGCTCCAGAAATGACAAGGGGAACAAGGCAGAGAAAAAAACTAGTGCTGAGCCTTCAGTGAATGGGGGTCGATAATGGGATGTCAGTACTTGAAAAAGAGTTTTGGGAAATTTAGCAGGATGGCTGGAGTTCTTGAAGGAGGAAGGTTAAGACTCATTTGTAAACAACAGTGAGAAGCAACGTTCTGACCCTGATGTGTGAGTGAAAAAAGTAGCTGCCACTTGAGAGAGCTACAGAGGTTGAGTGTATATGGGAGTTTTGCTGATTATAATTCAGGAGTCCCACATGGCAGGAGGGCTTTGGGGGTTCAGAGGTTCAGAACAAAATGGGGTGACAGTTTAAGAGATAATGGACAGCTAAGAGAACCTTAGGTTTCTGATTAGTTTAAGTACAGAGAGGGGGGCAGTGAGCGCAGAGTGAAAACTTTAATGAATGAGGGGAAGGTCTGTTGACAGCAAAGAGTATGTCAGGAGGCAAACAGGGATGTGAAATTTGATGTGATTAGTCCTACTGGTCTCTTAGAAGAGGGTGTTTCAAGCTGTGGTCCTGATCCTTTCTGCAGCTCCTGCCCCTTTGATGTGTTTGGCTGGGAAATTGAGGCCAGATAAAGAGCCATTTAATATTTTATTTTCCATTACTGGCAATCCTTTGTAAAACCAGTATAATCTGAATTTCAGTCACATCTTATTTGGCTTCTATGTTGAGTCATAGCTTAAAACTAAAGTTTCACTTAGATATTCTAAAAGTGGAAAGGACTTATTAGAATATTAATCTCTTTACAACGTATATGTTTATTCGTCATAACAAGAAGTACAATTCAAAGCACCCTTTCTTGTATCAATAATGGATTTTGAATTATTGTAGATTACGAAAAGAAAGAGATGAAGAACGTATTAAAAAATTTGTACAAGAAGAGGCTGTCAGATTCCTTTGGAACCAGGTAAGCTCCCTCCTGC